TATGCTATAAAGCCGGGATGGAGCTCACACTGGTCAGACCTAAGATGTGTCGGTCCCAGTGGGAAATTGACTGTCCCATAACCCTAAATGATGAAGTCTGGTTGAAAGCCCTCAATACCTTTTCAAAATAGACCAAATCTTACTCATATGTGGAAGCTCACAGAAAACTTCTTTATAGGTGGTACATGACTCCCTACAAACTGCATAAGATATTTATCCCATTTACTAAAATACCCTTTGAATCTGGTGCAAAACTAAGATGGCACATTATTCTCACCTTATTTACTACTCTATAGGTTGTCTGTACATTACCATTACCTTTACTTTTCATTTTGTTGTTGTTTAAAAAATCAAATATATGCAATGCTACTTCGAAATCATATCCGTAAAATGTATACTGTTATCATTGTTAACGAATGCTGTTAATGTGCACGATGATGTTACTATTGGCCACATATCGGTGGCCCAATACGGTCACCTGTTGTATGTTGTATAATACTAATGTTGTTTGAATATACTCACTGTTTTATACCTGTAACTATGTAACGGATATAAAAAATGTTGAAACTCAAATAAAATATGAATTGGAAAAAAGAAGATATTTAATTTTAAATGCATTTATATTTTGTATTTCTTTAACAGAGTGACACAATCTGTATAAATAAAACTGACACTGCATTAGGTGTATGGCATTATTCACATACCCTCATTAGGATAAAATCCAAGCAAAGGTGCCAGATATACCATCATATCTGTAGTGAGAATGAATTACAATGTTTGAGGTAAAGTCTCTCAATCACTGATATAATCAAATGACATATCATTTTATTTATTTATTTATTTATTTTTTGGATTTATAACTCAGAAGTATGTTTTATGGTAACTAGATATGGATTGACACCTGTCCTAAGGATCCCTGATACACACTGATACACACCTACTTGGATGGTATAGACATTTTTAGCTGCCCCTGGCCAGAACACCTGACCCACATAGGAGCCGTAATAGACCGGATTAGGGAGTCCGGACTGACCCTAAAGCCCAGTAAGTGCCATATAGGAACGTGTAAAAACCTCCCCAAGATAGTAGTATGGGCCCCAGAGTGTGAACAGGCCTTCCAACAGCTCAAGACGGCGCTCATTAAATCACCTGTACTTTCTGCTCCTGATCCAACTAAACACTTTCTCGTCCATACAGACGCTTCTATGCTTGGATTGGGAGCAGTACTGAGCCAAGTCGGAGCAGATGGTGGCGAGCAACCCGGGGCTTATCTAAGCCGTAAACTTTTGCACAGCGAAGTATATTCACTGCCATTGAAAAGGAGTGCATAGCGGTGGTGTGGGCCCTCAAAAAGCTGCAACCTACTTGTATGGACAACCGTTTACCTTACTCACAGATCACAGCAAATTTGGGGCACTGCGCGTGCAATCTAATGTGCCACCAGATAGGAGTGGTGTGTTTAGTACTATTGTTATCAGTTTAATCACTGTTACGCCCCCTATCCGTTGATGTGGAGCAAGACGCAGCAGCAGAAGAGGACTAAGCCGAGGAGGTTATGGAAGAGGATGGAGTAGGAGGAGTAGAGGAGGTGGCAGCGTACTGGCAGAGTACACGCTGTAGGGCTGACACACCCGCTTTGAGACAACTAACTGCTATTCAATCTATAACTGATGTTTGTTTCACAGGCAGAAAGTGCCCTAAAAGATGGCGGCTTGAACCCAAGTTGGT